AAAATCACCCCTCACACTTTATGTGTGGTGCTAGGGGTCAAACGGCTTCACATACTACACAAGCACTCTACTAACTGAGCTACATCCTTAGCCCAGTATTAAACTGTTTTTAATTTAATGAATTAAATGGTTAAAATAGAAGAAGTTTATGGAAATACTTTATACACATGTACTTGCCCACACTTCTGTCTGTTCACACTCAGTAACTGATTGGTCAATGACACACTAGGTAAGATTTCAAGTAGCAGAATAAATGTAATTCTTCTAAACCTTCATCCCCAATTAAACAGCCACTTGCTTTGCTCAACCCCAGTAGGCACACTAACAAACAAGGCTGTGGTCCTGTAGGTCTCCCAGGCTAATGGAGTAGAGCAGTGGTTCTCAATCTTCCTAACCTGCGACCCTTTAACCCAGCTCCTTGTGTTGTGGTGACCTCCATCCATAAAATTATTTCATTGCTACTTCATAACTGTTATACTGTTCTGTTATTAATTGTAATGTAAGTATCTGTGTTTTCTGATGGTCTTGGGTGACCCCCGTGAAAGGGTCACTAGAACCCCACAATGAGTCAATACCCCAGGTTGAGAACCACTGGAGGAACGTATAGCTGTTCTTACCCTTTCACTACATCGCCTGGGGCGCTAGCAGAGGGAAAGGCCAGTCTATGGCTCTGCCCTCCCCTCATCACCTTTGCTCTCTGAAATGACTCACAAAAGTATGAACTAAGGAGCTACCAGCTACAGTACTGCAGCATATCACACGCCTGACATCAAAGAGGGCCCTGGTTAGAGCCACAGCATCTCAAGGACAAAGACTGTCATCTGCCATGCGGCATAAAACCTATTCAAGGTCTAGGCCATGTTTTGCCAGCTAGTTAATATGATAACTTTATGCCCACCCACCTACCTACCTATCACAGGTCTGTCTTAAAAGTACAGAGAAACCATGTGTGTGAAAGCCCTTTGTAATCAAGTCACTTGAAAAACATCAAGTATTCTGTCAGGGTGTTTGGGAATAAAAGCTTTTCAACATTCATTTATTGAGAGTTTATATAGATGTGGAACTTGAAACTCAGCTTCTAGAATGACTTTGTCCAATACAACTTTGAACTTAAGCAGGAGGGTCCTATACTGGCAATGCCAAACACAGTAGAGAAGCTCACCACACACTAAATACTTAAAACATGGCTAGCATAACTGCAAGACAGAACCGTGAATATTATTTAGCTTCAATCTTCTTAATGTTCAATAACTACAAATGGCTGGGAGCTGCTGCTGTGTTAACAGCAAGAGTCTGGCATAATACGAGCTGGAAAATCTACTTGAAGCTTCAATGTCTCTGTCAAGAATCACAATATCCAAAACCTAATGACAAAATTGTAGGAACCAATTTGCAAAAGCGTATGTATTCCCTTAAATACTAGTTACACTGATTATGTTCAGTATGTCACAACTTAAATCCAGAAAGCATCTGCCATAGACATTAAGGCATCCACAGGTGAACAGTCAGAGAGACCAGGGGAAATAGGACTGAATGGTCCCCACAATTTCCCTCTCACTTCACGCAAAACACATGGTGGGGGTGGGATTCTCATTTCCTGCTATACTCAATTCTGGAGTCAAACGACTGGCAGGGATTTCTATGATCAGAAATTCTCTGAAGAAGCCGTATCTGTGTTGAATATGCCGTAGACTGATACACCAGATACAGACATCCGTGGCTGTGAAGAGACAGATTGCCGCATATCTACAAACAGCCAAAATTATCTTGGGTTATTGTTAACACCCTTATGGTCATGTATCATCAGACACTGTTTCTGAGCTTTATGGTTACCAGGTAATTAAGTCTTGGAATGTGTTATACTAATGGACCATCGGCTTCCAATCCTAACACTAAAGATGGAAGCTGGGTTCAAAACCCTGTAATCCATTTGCTGGCCCCTCATTACATTTGACAAATACACTGACTTGTGACTTTCTTTGGGTCTGTGACTACAAAAGTTGAGCTGAATTCTTCCACAGAGGGATATACAATTCATGGAAACTCTAATCTGTGTTTAGCTTTGAAGAAAACTCCCATCTTTCCTTTGAAGCAACAGCTATGTTTTCACAGACACGGACATTATGTAATTGTCAACATGTCACCACACTCAGAAACTTTAAGGCAATTTTATCTTTAGTCAACTTAAGGGGGCAGTGCCTTTAAAAACAAATATGCCCAATACACACCTTCCAACTACGGGGAGCTCTCAACTCTCTGAACATTTCCCACAGAATTCTCTACACTATGACCCCCAAGAACTGTTGCTAAGAGGCACCTACCTACTGAGCCCTCATTTTCAACCAGGCGCAAGACCAAACATCACCTGTACGGAGTCATTTATCCCTTAAATCATTCTGTAGGGGCAACACTGTTATCCTAGGTCTACAGGGACTAAAGTCTGTGAGGGTTTAAACTCTACCCTACCCAAGTCCCACTAGGCAAGCCTAACCCTTCCCTAGCTGGAAGGCAGCACAAAGGCCAGCGTGTGCTAGTCTTGCCAGAGGAGCAACCACGACGGCAAGGACGACAAGGACACCCCACCGAGGAAGCCCCGGGGCCAGTGCCCCGCACCGCCGAGCCAGGCCCCGGAACGCTGGCGTCAGGAGGCGGAAGAGTGCCCGGGCGGAAACGCAGGCCACGGGACGCCGGGACCCAGCCGTCGCCGCCGCGCCTCACCTGCTCCACGCGCGCGCAGACAAGCTCAGCGGCCGTCCCCGCCCGGCCTCTGCGTGCACGCCGGGGCTCGGGGTCCACCGGGGGACGGCAGTTCCCGCGCGGACCCCACAGGCCAGCAGCCAGCCGCGGTCCAGGCCACGGAAAGCGACGGAGGCGCAGGCGGCGCGCAGGAGTCGGGCGCCCGGAGCGGCCGCCATTCCCCGGTCGGAAGGTTCCGGGTCCTGTGATGTCCTGCGCAGTCCTGAGGGTCCCGCGGGTCCCTCGAGTCCAGTGACGAGCGGACTGCTGCCCCGCGAGCTCCCTGCGTGTCCTATAACCCACGGCCCCGCCCCGCCCCGCCGATGCCACGCCTCCGCGGGGCGGGGCCGAACGCGGCTCCAGTGAGCAGGGCAGGAGTTCACCTTGACCTTCTGCAGAGCGTTCGCGTTCGTCAAAGGCCCTCCAAAAAGCCGCCTGGTGAACTGAACCGCCTTCGTCCCACTCCCTCTACACAAAGACAAATATCGCAGTTTCCACCGCCTTTAGAGTTCAAGTTTGAGCAAAAGGGATCTAGGTTTTTCCTACCCAGGACAGCGGAGAGTTTTTACAAACTTGACAAACTGTGTGTATACAATCCTGAAACTTAGCAAGTTAACTTTTAACTTAAAAGTTTAAAACTTTTTTTTGATAACTAATAACTGGTAAATTGTGAAAGAGTCTTTGAGGTTAGACATTCAAACCCAAGTCCTCTGTTGATAAGAGACCTTGGATAAATTATTCTGGGGGGGGGGGGAGAGGAGGGGCCGGTCGGATAACAGTTTCCATAACTCACAGCGAAGTTCACTTTCAGGGCCATTGTGGAGGTTAGGTGAGTAAGAGCAACGAACTGCGTCACAAACCAGGAACGAAAAGCCTCATCTTGAGCATTCCTGATAAGGGGCTGAAGGACGGAAGCACTCGTTGCAAACAAGCTGGACATAGGCAAAGATTACTTGAATATTCAAGCTGGAGTTGGAGACATAGCTAAGAGGTTAAGAATATTTGTTGCTCTTGCGGAAAACCTGGGTTCAGTTCCACGGAGCAGCTCACAACTGTAACTCTAGTTTCAGAGATCCAAACCCCTCTGGCACCAGGCATGCCCATGGTGCAAATACATATTTGAGAAGAGGGGTATTACTTGACAGGTTGAAGATATGGCTCAGCAGTTGAGAGCACTTTCTGCACTTGTAGAGAACCTCAGTTCACTTCCCAGCACCCACGGTAGCTGATTCTCAACTGCCTATAACTCAGAATTCCATAGGAATCCACCACCCTCCTCTGACCTCCTCAGGCACCCACATACATAAATCTTTTTTTAAAAAAAAATCAGTCTGAACATATCTCTGCAAACATTTATCACTCTTATGATGGGAACTGTAAAACTCCATCTAGCTTTTGGGAATGTAAAGTGGGTTATTATCTACAGTTAGGTCACTGTAGGCACACCAGACCTGACTTAAACATCACAGCGTGTGTACTTAGGGACACGTGTGTGCACATATGTACATACATAAAACCAACATTACATGAAATCCCATTAGGACTTATGGTTTGTGTGTTTGTTAACATTATAAAGAAGAGAAATTTGGGGTTTGAGGAAATGACTCAGCAGTCAAGAATGAATGCTGCTCTTACAGTGGACCTGAGTTTGGTTGTTAGCATCCACACTGGGTAGCTCCCAACAGACTAAATTCTGAGGGATCAGGCGCCCTCTTCTGGCCTCTATAGCCATTTGGAGGGAGGGAAGGAGGGAGGGAGGGAGGGAGGGAGGGAGGGAGGGAGGGAGGGAGGGAGGGAGGGAGGGAGGGAGAAATTTTAAAAATTAAAAAAAATAAAAGCAGAAATCTATTTCTATTTTGTCACAGGTTTGGGCACTGGGTAGTCAAAAATGAAAATGGCAGCAGGTTTGATGTGCAGTGAGAGCCCAGTCTCTAGCACACCATCATCATTGGACCCTCACCAAAACTCCTTTCTGAGATCCTGTTGTTGGGTCATGAGGATCCTACTGATACAATTCCACAGGACCATTCCCTGCATGCACTATTGCATATCATAAATGGTCTAGTTGTTAGGGTGGGGCCACTCACCCAAGGTCCAGACCACCCAAGGCCGGGACCATCCAAGACCTGGAATATGGGTCTGGGTGGTAGCTGAGCTGGTCAGTCTGGACCACTAGGATTGCCCTCCTCAGGCAAGGGGCAGAGCCAGCTCTCCTAGGCCCATGTCATCCAGGCCAGCTCTCTCATACCCATGGTAAGCAGTGGGGCCTTCTCTACTGAGTGTGGGGGCGGGGTGCAGGGGAGTGAGCAGTTCTCCCACAAGGGGCAGGGACAGCCCTCCTGCTGCAGTGTCCAGGAAGGAGCTGGACCAGTTCTCCCAGGGCAAGTGAACGTCAAGCCTGGCTCAGGACAGCTCTTAGATTTCAACACGCGGGGTTCCTATGGCCCGTGTGGTAACACAGGCATGGGCATCAACATAGACCCCAGGTGCAGAAGGACTACTGACCCAGACATGGCCCCAACACCCTCCTGGCTCTTTCATACCCATGCCCTCTTTTGTATTGTCATTAACATGGCTGCATTTATGTTCATGCATAAACATTCCTAAATATAATTTGCTCAGTGTGAATAATGTTACTCATATGTATGCCATCAGGACTGAACATTTAATATTAGACAATCAATTGGTGTGCTCTTCCCCGGAAAGGTCTTTCTCCCACTCCCAGAATTCCTTAGTTGCTTTACCCCATCCATGTTACTATGTCTATCGTTGTTGCCTTTGTTCAGCTCACGTTTAGGCAGTCGTGTTGGTGAGATTTCTGACGTCAGTAGGAGACACATTCTCACAGCAAACTCCCCTGCTCCTCTGGCTCTTAGAATCTTCCTATCCCCTCTTCCACGATGCTTACTAAGTCTTATGTGGGGGAGGGTTTCATAGATGCCAACTCTTGGGACTAGGATCCACAGCTCTGATGTGTTGTGGTTTTCTATACTAGTCTCCACTTGTTGCAAAGAGAAGTCTTCTTGATGAGGGGTGAGGACTACCCTTATCTATGGGTGTAAGGACAAGTATTTAGAATATGGTTAGGAACCACCAAGGTATGCAGCCATGGCTTCACTCTTACGGATACGGGGCTATGCTGATTGTTTTTGTGGCTCATAGGCATCATAGCTAGGCAGGACTGGTGGTTGCTTTCCTCCTTTGGAAGCTGACACAGCACCTTCTGGTACCATAAAAGTTGGTCCTTAGAGAAGAGTTGTTTAGGTCTCTTCCAGCTTAGGAACCCATATGCCCTATGTCTGAAATAGATGGGACTTAACTTCCACCTCTTGGGGGCAACCAAGGGCAACAGCAATAGGGTAGGTGTTTGGGACGACTCTGACAGCCCTGACCAGCCACTCAAAAGAGAGCTTCTCATGCCTGATATTAGAATATTTTTAGGGGATCTTTGGCTCTTGGAGGGAGAAGTGGCAGAACAAAGGGAAAAAATCATTTAAACTATATGTATATATTTATACATAGAATAGTATTCCTTAGTACTTTTTTGGCTTTTTTTTTTTCAAGACAGGGTTTCTCAGTAGCTTTGTCCTGACACTTGCTATGTAGACCAGGCTGGCCTCGAACCAGATACCTTTACTGTTCTCCTCCTCCCCTCTGTAATTAAAGCCCTCTTTGTCTCATTTCCCCAATCACTTGTACCCTATTTCTCTTTTTATTCCCACCCCCCACCTCATCAGCAATGGTTCCTTTTTCCCTTTCCTGGTTTCTGCAATTACTACTCTAGGATATATACTCACACATTTCTTTAAGAAAAAAAAATTAGCACAAAACATGCAACAAGCGGACTTTTAAGTTTCACATTCCTATGAAGTCTTGCTGCCTTAGTGTATCTAGTCCCTATTGTCGCTATAATAAATTACTGTTTTCTAGTTATGTAGGCCAGATTCAAAGAGTTGCTATGTTTCACAGGCCAGAAACCCTAAACAAGGCTCAAGGTTAAAGTCAAGGTACTAACAGGGACCCACTCCTTTTCAGGCGGGGAAAGACAGAATGTTTCTTTTCTAGAATTCCCTAGCTGTGGAGTCCTCAGGTGGCATCTCCCAAACCCTGCTTCTTTCATCCTCTTCCTTTTCTATTTTTAAAGATTCCAGCGATTAGTTTGGGTACAGCTTGATAACCCAAAGTCATTGTCCATCTCAAGATCTTGCTGAGAATTATATTCCCAAAATCCCTTCTGCCATGTTCAATCCCATTTTCAAGGCTTCTGAGGGTTAGGAGGGCTACCACTCTGCCTGCGACCGGCTTGAACTATCAAGCTCAGCATTAACACTAAACATTGGGAACTCCCTTTCCACCATCTGCTTCTCTGAGCTGCGTTTGACCGTTATACACTGATTAAAGTTCCAAACTGCCCTCAGCATAGAAAAATAATAATGTGCATTATGCCAACCTGGGGTTCCGAGAAGGGCATGTCCAAAGATTCTATGGTCATAAGAAATTTCTTATTGACAAAAGACAAATATATTGGGTAAGCACTCATAAATAAATATGAGTGCTTACCCAATAGGTACACACACACACACACTATAAAGTAGATACCAAAACCACTGCAATTTTATTAGTAAATTAATTGACACACAATGTATATTAAATGAAGCTTTGGGTGTGTCTAAATGAAATGACATTAGATGTTCTTGGTATAGTTGTTTTTAAGTCCATGCAATCCTAGCAGATGCAGTATATATTTCACATATAAAATGAATTGATTTGATTTTACACTCGGAAGGATAATAAAATAGAATTTACACTTTTCCATTTCTGTTTATTTTAAAGAAATGTTTCTGCTTGCTATGGGGATGTTAGAAAGGAAGAAAGAAAGAAAGAAAGAAAGAAAGAAAGAAAGAAAGAAAGAAAGAAAGAAAGAAAGAAAGAAAGAGAGGAATGAAGGAAGGGAGGAGGGAAAGGGGAGGGAGAGGCAAAGGATTAATATTAAAAGGAATATCCCCTTGTCCTGTTGTTCATCTTGTTGCTTATCATTTTATTCTAGGATAGGTGGATTTTTTGCTTTTAGAGTTGATGAATATGTGGTGATTTATTGAAGGTTATTAAAATGCAGAGAAGATCAGAGAAAAACAAAAGAATAAATTTAGTTGAAGATGCCCTGGGCTTGATAGGGCAAATCTCAGAAACAGAGCATTGATCTGTCTGGTTCAAAATTGAGTAACTCAAGGGCAACTGCCAAGAGTCCTTGAGTTTGACTGATAGAAAACTTCGTTTGGATTGTAAAAAAAAAAAAATTTCTGACCCAGTGTCATCTGTGATTTATGAAAGTATCAGATATTATCTAGCTGACAGATTTTTACTTGGAAAATGCTCCAACGAACTCATTTCTTTAAGATCAACTGAAATTTGGTGGCATTTCTACTGGCCAAGTCTTTTGTGTTTGTTTGTTTTGAGACAGCTTCTCATTCTGAAGTCCAAGCTGGCTTCAAACTTACAGCAATCCTCTTGCCTTTGCCTCTTGAGTGCTGAGATTACAGGCATTCGACCCATGCAGGTCCTCAACTTCCTATCTCGTATTTACGTGTTTTCACACGAGTTAAAAATCACTCCGTGCATATATTTTAATCACATTAATTTTTAAAATTCTAACATTTCGCAGTGCATTGTGCTGGTAAAGTTTTGAGGAAACAGGAAATCTAACGACCGACAGTCTAACTGTATACACACACACACACACACACACTTAAAAATGTTGCTACAGACTGTAGAATTATGCAGTGAGAGTTAGTTCAGCACATACTGCTGGAGTCAGCTCATCAGAGAGCAAGTCTCATGGAGGACACACCTCATTTAGCAAGGCGATGAGGAGTATTGTCACCAGAGAAGCACATCTCACCAAACTTCTCTGCAAGACAATGAGGAATACTACCTTCTGAATGTGTCAAGCTGTCCCCATGGCAGGCTTCTTGTGTGAAGAGCTGTTTTCCTCACATTACAGCTATCGGATGAGTCCCCCCAGCAGTGCCTGCCTGATCCTGGCAAGAAAGTAATCACAGTCAACCCTCTTACTCTCTCAACAAGGTCTTTGTATAAGCTTAGAAGTCTGCCTTCCTGCAATTATCTTCCTTGACAGACAGTTGATCAATGTTAGTGCCCAGGCAAAGAGACCTCACTTGAGACATTCACAGATGCCCAAAGACAAGAATTACGGCATGCCTGAAGCTGTCAAACCATAACTTCTCAGAGAGAGAACAAGAGTCCGGCATTCCCTCTGCCAGCAGATAGAAAAGCGATGTCCCATGCTAACCTCACATTAACCTTAAGGCATGCCTATTTTTCACTTGACGGTCTACTAACAAAGGATCTGTGTCTCAAAGTTGTCGTTGGGCACTGTGCCCCCCTCTCTGGTTGAGGTTTTGCTCCTATGACCTTGGATCTTTGTGTTACCATGGCGAGTGGCTCAGCTCCTTATCGCTTCAAGGCTCCTGTAGGAGAAGAGTTTTGAGTATAAGAGAAGAAGCGTGGACAAGCTAGAAGTAGAACGGGAGTATTAGAGTAGAAAGAGAACAGCAAAGAGCACTTGAAATGAAGAGCATTGGCCTGTCTGTGTGAAGTTACTGTAGAAATCCTTTACACCCTGTAGTGGCATTTCAAATGTATTTTAATAAATAAAGACTGCCTGAAGATCTGAGAGTAAAACAGCCCCCCTGGTCAGCCTTACAGCCTTATGGTAATACACACCTTTAATCCCAGTAGCCACAATGACGTGCATCTTTAATCCCAGTAGCCACACTAGTTGCCATAGAAATCGGGTGGTGCATGCCTTTAATCCCAGTGATGCACGCCTTTGATTCTAGCCCTAGAGAGGATAAGGGGCGAGACAGCTCTCAGACACAGTCTCCTTCTGAGGGTCCAGGAAGCAGGATTGCCATTTTGACTGAGGTTGAAGTAAGAGCCAGTGGCTGGTTGTTTTGCTTTTCAGATCTTCAGGTTGAACCCCAAGTTCTGACACTGAGTTTTTATTAATTGTGCTGCAACATCACCTTTACTTCTGAAAAGCATTTCACCTTTGGGATCCTAGGTAGGGGTTGTAGCCAGTCTCTTAACCCTTACAAAATGTTTTTTAAAAAAAATCAATTAGATGTCATCTCTCTGTGTTCTAAGCACCTTGTCTTGCCTTGCTATAATATAGGTTATCTTATATGTAAGCTGAGGTTTACAAACCCTCTTTAGGCAGTAGTAAAGAGAAATTTGGGGGTGGCAAGGATTTATCTTTCAATGCAAAACTTGGTTAACTAGTGTATTGGTTGGTTTTTCACTGTTGTGAGCAAATACCTGGAGAAAACTACTTGAAGGAAGTCTTATTTGTGTCTCACAATTCAGAGGATTACAGTCCATCATAGTGGGATGCCATGCAGACAGAGGCAGTTTGGGCTGAGGTGCTGATAGGAAGAAAAGAGAGTCTGAGTTACTTTTCTATTTCTATGAAGAGACATCATGACCTACTTATTTAATTGATGGCTCCCAGCCACAGAGGGTTAGAGTCCATGATCATCATGGCAGTGAGCATGGCAGCAGGCAGGTAGGCATGGTACTGGAGTAGCTGAGGGCGTACTGCTGACCCACAAACAGGAGGCAGAGAGGGTGCTAACTGAGAACCACAAAACCCATCCCACAGTAACAGCTCCTCCAACAAGGCCACACCCCCTAATCCTCCCCAAACAGTTTCAGCAACTGGGACCAAGCATTCAAATATATTAACCTATGGAGAACATTCCCATTCAAACCACCACAGTAATGTTAATTGCTCCAAAGGCTTTCTCCTCCCTCTTTTCTATTTAGGCAACTCATGAAACGATACCACTCACAGTTAGGGTGAGTCTTCTCTCCTCAGTTAAAACTCACTAGAAACATCTGTACACACTTGTGCAGAAGTATGCCTCCTGATGATCCCAAATGCAGCCAAGTTGGCAATGAAGACTGATCTTCACACCTGGTGTCTTAGGGTTTCTATTGCTGTGAAGAGACACCATGACCATGGCAACTCTTATGAAGGAAAATATTTAATTGGGGTGACTTGCTTACAGTTTTGAGATTTAGCCCATTATCATCGTGGTGGGGAACATGGCAGTGTGCAGGCTGATATGGTGCTGGAATGGTAGCTGAGAGTCCTACATATTGCAGACAAAAGGAAATGAATTGAGTGTCACACTAACTGAAGCTTGAACAAAAAAGACCTCAAAGTCCACCCCCATGGTGACATGCTTCCTCCAACAAGGCCATACCTACTTCAACAATGCCACACCTCCTAACAGTGCCCCTTCCTATGGGGGCCAATTTCTTTTAAACCACCACACCTGGCAATATGAAACTTTGAAAACTATGCTAGACTTTCCTGTCCAGCAGTAGAGGCAGCAAGACACTCTGGTATAAAAGCAACAGGGTAAGAGAAATCCTGTTGGTTTTTTGTGGGCTTAGAAATGCTCTGCTTCTCATCTTCCACATTTGCAAGGATAATTACTCAGAAATTGTTGATACCTTAAGATCCTAATATCAGGCCGGGCGGTGGTGGCACACGCCTTTAATCCCAGCACTTGGGAGGCAGAGGCAGGCAGATCTCTGTGAGTTCGAGACCAGCCTGGTCTACAAGAGCTAATTCCAGGACAGGCTCCAAAACCACAGAGAAACCCTGTCTCAAAAGAGAGAGAGAGAGAGAGAGAGAGAGAGAGAGAGAGAGAGAGAGAGATCCGAATATCACATACACAATAGCATAAATGTAAAATATATATTCTGAATACATAACCAGGACTGTAGAACATCTGATCAAAAATTGTTTCAAGAAAATTCCACAAGAGTGGCTCTGAACGAGCTACCTAGGACAGAGAGGGCCTGAGGAAACAAGCTCCACTGGGAACAGAAGCCAGGAGCAAATCCAGCCCTGGGAGCCAACCTCCCGGGACACTGGTGGATCAGGATCGAGCCAGCGACCAGATCCAGAGTCAGAGATCTTCTATGAAACAGGTACAGGGGAGTAATCCCTGAGCCAGTGAGCCAGAACCAGACACCTCTAAGGGCCTGGACATGAATCTGGGACCTTCAAGGGAGGAGACCTAAGTCAGGACCCAAGTGGGTCTGGGCGTGAGTCTAGGACCTCCCAGGAACTAGGCCAGACCCAGGACCTCTGCCAGTCTGGGTGTGAGTGAACCTGGGACATCCCCCCCCCCCCCCGAGGGAATAGGCAGGAAACAGAGATGTTGGCAGGGCCAGGCGTGAGTCTGGGTCCTCAGAGGGAGTAGGCCTGAGCCAGGACCTCTGTGGGTCCAGGCATTGGTATGGGACATCCAAAGGGAATAGACAGGAACCTGGGACCTCTGCAGGTCCCAGACTGAGGGAGTAAGTAGGTCGTCTGCTATTCCAGGTGTACCAGAGCCAGGGGCCTCTGAAGCAGTAGACAGGAGCCAGAAACCTTTCCATGTCTAACTCCAAGCCGGGACTTCTGCAGGAGGGGTTCCAGACCAGGATTTAAAGAAACAGGGCAAAGCTGGCAACTTGGACCAAAGTAGGCCTGAGACAGCAAACTCCAAGGAGAACAGAGCAAAGCACATGAGTGCTGAGCTATCTCTAGGCACACAGAGTAACCTACGGGGTAACTAGAACTGTGGCATTGACTGTACCACGAGGAACAACCATCTGAGCTTTGGATTCACTGGCACCTAGAAGATTATTCAACAGAATTTCAGACAGCCCCAACCACACCTATTAGAGGAAAAGATGAGTAGAAAAAGTAAGATCACATGCTGCACCACAAAGAGAAACATGACACCAGTAAAATCTAGAGACCCTACAACGGCAAGACCTGAACAACCAAATATGGATGAAGCAGAAGAAAATGACCTAGAAAATAACTTCAAGGGAATGTTTGAAACTCTTAAAAAGAAAAATGAGAAATTCCATTAAAGAAATGGAGGAAAAGACAAACAAAAAATTGGAAGATGTCAGCAAATCATGTAAAGAAAAACAAGAAAAAGAAATCAAACATATAAAAGAAACTATTCAGGACTTGAAAACTGAAATAGAAACAATAAAGAAAACACAATCAGAGGGAATTATAGAAACAGAAATCATGAGTAAACGATCAGGAACTACAAACACAAGCATGAACAGCAGAATACAAGAGATGGAAGAGAGAAACTCAAGTGCTGAAGATACAATAGAGGAAAACAGAGTCATCAGTTAAAGAAAACATTAAACCTAACAAGAGCTTAACCCAAAATATCTAGAAAATATGGGTCACCATGAAAAGGCCAAATCTAAGAATAATAGGTATAGAAGGAGAAGAAGGTCAACTCAAAAGCATAAAAAATATATTTAACAAAATCATAGAAGAAAACTTTCCCAACCTAAGGAAAGATATGCCTATGAAGATACAAGAAGTTTACAGAACACCAAATAGACTGGATTTAAACAAAAGTCCTCTCGCCACATAATAATCAAAACACTGAACATACAGAATAGAGAAAGAATACTAAGAGCTGCAAAGTAAACAGATCAAGTAACATATAAAGGTAGACCTATCAGAATTACACCTGACTTCTCATTGGAGGCAATGAAAGCCAGAAGATTGTGGTCAAGCCTTATACAGACATTAAGAGACCACAGATGCCAGCCTAGACGACTATACCCAGCAAAACTTTCAATCACCATAGAAGGACAAAACAAGATATTCCATAACATATCTAGATTTCATCAATACCTAGCCACAAACTCAGCCCTACACAAAATACTAGAAGGAAAACTCCAACCCAAGGAAATTGGCTACACCAACAAAAACACAAACAATTGGTGGTCTCATAGCAGCAAGTCAGAAAGATGGGGGAAATGCACAAATTAACATCACCAACAATGAAAACTAAATTAACAGGAGATATCAATCACTGGTCATTAATATCCCTTAATGTAAATAGACTCAACCCTCCTATAAAAAGGCACAGGCTAACAGACTGGATCCATCCTTCTTCTGCATACAAGAAACACATCTCAACCTCAAAGGCAGACATGGTCTCAGAGTAAAGTGTTGGAAAAAATATACCAATCAAATGGACCTACGAAACAAGTGGGTGTAGCTATCCTAATATCTAACAAAATAGACTTCAAGCTAAAATCAATCAAAAGAGATAAAAAAAAAGGTCATTTCATATTAGTCACAGGAAAAATCCATCAAGAGGAAATTTCAATACTGAACATCTATGTCCCAAATACAAGGGCACCCTCATATGTAAAAGAAACACTTCTAAAGCTTAAATCATACATCCCACACACACTAATAGTGGGAGACCTCAACACTCCACTCTCACCACTGGACAGGTCAGTCAGAAAAAAAAATGAGCAGAGAAATAAGAGAACTAATAGATGTTATGACTCAAATGGACTTAACAGACATCTATAGAATATTCCATCCAAGCAGAAAAGAATATACCTTCTACTCAGCACCTCATGGAACCTTCTCAAAAATTGATCACATACTCAGTAACAAAACAAACCTCAACAAATACCAAAAAAATAAATGGAATAACCCAATGTACTTTATCAGATCACCATGGTTTAAAACTAGAAGTCAACAGCAATACTAATTCCAGAAAACCCACAAACACATGGAAATTAAACAATGATTACCTGAATCATCAATGGGTCAAGGAAGAAATATAGGGGGAAATTAAAGACTTTCTAAAATTCAATGAAAATGACCACACAACATACCCAAATTTATGGTACACAATGAAAGCAATGTTAAGAGGAAAGTTCATAGCACTAAATGCCTACATAAAGAAACTGGGAAAATCCCACACTTGTGAATTAACAGAACATTTGAAAACTTTAGAACAAAAAGAAGCAAACTCACCTAAGAGAACTAGATGGCAGGAAATAATCAAATTGAGAGCTGAAATCAACAAAATAGAAACAAAACATTACAACGAATTAATGAGACAAAGAGTTGGTTCTTTGAGAAAATCAACAAATGGACAAATCCTTATCCAAACTAACCAAAAGGCAGAGAGAAAGCATACAAATTAGCAAAATCAGAAATGAAAAGAGGGACATAACAACAGAGGCGGAGGAAATACAGAGAATCCTCAGGTCATATTTTGAAAACCTGTACTCCACAAAATTGGAAAAGTTAAAGGAAGTGGACAACTTTCTGTATAAATATCACTTACCAAAATTAAATCAAGACCAAATAAGCAAATTAAACTGACTTATAACTGCTGAAGAAATAGAAACAGCTATCAAAAGTCTCCCAATCAAAAAAGGCCCAGAACAAGATGGTTTCAACTCAGAATTCTACAAGACTTTCAAAGAAGAACTAATACCAATACTCCTCAATTACTCCACACAATAGAAACAGGGAACATTGCCAAACCCTTTTTATGAGACTACAATTACCCTGATACTCAAATCACAGAAAGATATTACTAAGAAAGAGAATTACAGATCAATCTCCCTCATGAACATTGATGCAAAAATACTAAATAAAATACTGGCAAATCAAATCCAAGAACACATCAGAACCATCATCCACCATAATCAAGTTGGCTTCATCCCAGAGATGCAGGAATAGTTCAACATATGAAAATCTGTCAACATAATCCACCATATAAACAAGCTGAAAAATACAAACCACATGATCATCTCATTAGATGCCAAAAAGCTTTTTGACAAACTACAACATCCTTTCATGATAAAGGTCTTGGAGAGAGCAAGGATACAAGGAATATACCTAAACATAATAAGGGCAATATACAACAAGTCAACAGCCAACATCAAACTAAATAGAAAGAAACTCCCAGTGATCTCACTGAAATCAAGGTTGTCCACTCTCTCCATATCTATTCAATATAGTTCTTTAGGGCCTAGCGAGATCAATAAGACACCAAAGGGAGATCAAGGGAATACAAATTGAAAAGAAGAAGTCAAACTCTCACTATTTGCTGATGATATAATAGCTTACGTAAACTACCCAAAAAAAATCTACCAAGGAACGTCTACAACTCATAAATACTTTCAGCAATGTAACAGGAAAGAAGATTAACTGAAAAAAATCAGTAGCCCTCCTGTACACAGATGATAAATGGGCTGAGAAAGAAATCAGAAAAACATTACCCTTCATAATAGCCACAAATAGCATAAAATATCTCAGAGTAACTCTAACCAAACAAGTGGAAGACTTGGATGACAAGAACTTTAAATCTTTGAAGAAAGAAATTGAAGAAGACACCAGAAAGTAGAAAGATATCCCGTGCTCTTGGGTAGGCAGAATTAACATAGTAAAAATGTCAATCTTACCAAAAGCAATCTACAGATTCAATGCAATGCCCATCAAAATCCCAGCAAAATTCTTCACAGACCTTGAAAGAATAGTACTCAACTTCATTTGGGAAGGCAAAAAACCCAGGATAGCCAAAACAATCCTGTACAATAAAAGAACTTCTGGAGGCATCACAATCCCTGACTTCAAACTCTACTATATCGCTACAGTACTGAAAACGGCCTGGTATTAGCATAAGAACAGACAGGAGGACCAATGGAACTGAATAGATGATCCAGATATCAATCAACACATCTTTGAACACCTGATTTTTTACAAAGAAGCAAAGAATATCAAATGGAAAAAAGAAAGCATATTTAACAAGTGGTGCTGGCATAACTGGATATCAACATGTAGAAGAATGAAAATAGACCCATATCTATCACCTCAAGTCCAAATGGATCAAAGACCTCAACATAAAGCCAGCCACACTGAACCTTATAGAAGAGAAACTGAGAAATACACTTGAACGCATTGGCACAAGAGACCACTTTCTAAATATAACCCTAGCAGCACGGACACTGAGAGAAACAATTGATAAATGGGACCTCCTGAAACTGAAAAGCTTCTGTAAAGCAAAGGACATGATCAACAAGACAAAACGACAGCCTACACAATGGGAAAAGATCTTCACTAACCCCACATTAGACAAAGGTCTGATCTCCAAAATATACAAAGAACTCAAGAAATTAGTCATCAAAAGAACAAATAATCCAATAAAAAAAAATGGAGTTCAGACCTAAACAGAGAACTCTCAACAGAGGAATCTAAAATGGCTGAAAGACACTTAAGGAAATGTTCAACATCCTTAGTCATCAGAGAAATGCAAATCAAAACAACTCTGAGATTCCATGTGACACCTGAAAGAATTGCCAAGATCAAAAACACTGATGACAACTTATGCTGGAGAGGTTGTGGGGAAAAGAGAACATTTCTGCATTGCTGGTGAGAATGCAAGCTGGTACAACCCCTTTGGACATCAGTGTGGCGATTTCTTAGAAAATTAGGAAACAACCTTCCTCAAGACCCAGTAAGACCACTTTCGGGTATATATTCAAAGGATGCTCAATCATGCCACAAGGACATGTGCTCAACTAAGTTTATAGCAGCATTGTTCATCATAGCCAGAACCTGGAAATAACCTAAATACCCCTCGACCAAAGAATGGATAAAGCAAATGTGGTACATTTACACAATGGAGTACTGCACAGCAGAAAAAAAAATAACGACAGCTTGAATTTTGCAGGAAAAAGGATGGAGCTAGAAAACATTATTTTGAGTCAGGTAACCCAGACACAGAAAGACAATTATCACATGTTCTCACTCATAGGTGGTTTTTAAACATAAAGCAAAGAAAATCAGCCTACAAATCACAGAGAACTTGGACAACAATGAGGACACTAAGAGAGACTTACATAGATCTAATCTACATGGGAAGTAGAAAATAGAAAAAGACAAGATCTCCTGAGCAAGTTTTGAGCATGGAGACCTTGGAGGAGAGCTTAAGGGAGGAGGGAAGAGGCAGGGAGGGGAGCAGAAAAAAATGTAGAGCTCAATAAAAATCAATTAAAAAAAGAATTGTTTCAATTTCAGAGTGTAATGATCAGAAACAACTAAGGGTTACAATATATTCTGTCCTGCAACATAACTGTATGGGAAGCGACAAAACTAGGTCATCAAAAGGCTCCAAGATGATGACTGGCAGCCAGCCAGAAATTATCTATAAGTCAAAGAGCAAGGTCCTAAACTTGAGAGGCCAATGAATGTAAAAGGGAGAAGGTTCCAGATGGGGTTATTGCCACATCAAGTTCAAAAGGCAGAGAGAAAATATGGGGAAGAAAAAATGAACAAACAGCCTCAGTCCTTGGATTGTCTGTCTCTGATCATAAACCATAAGACAATTGCTGACAACTCATGTTTTGTGTCCAGTGGCCCTAGTACAATCTGCCAGGTGTGTGCTGATGGGGAGAGGCAGAGACCTTCAAGTGTTAGGTAATCTAAAACATACACAAAACCAAACCAAAACTGCCTGTAACAGAAGTCCTAAGATAGTTATGTTTTGTTGCCCAACACGACGTTGTAGGCAGCATTTCTCTTGCTGTGACCAAACACCAGGACCAACGCAACTTGAGGAGGGAAGGATTTATTTGGCTTACATTCCCACATTCTAGTCATCACTGAAGGAAGTCAAGACAGATACTCAAACAGGAATGGAACTTGGAAGCAAGAACTGATGAAGGGGTGCTGCTTACTGGCTTGTTCCTCTTGGCTTGCTCAGCCTGCTGTCTTATAGAACCCAAGACCAGCAACCCACAATGGAGTTGGACCCTCCCCCATCAATCACTAACTCAGAAAATATCCTACAAGCTTGCCCTACAGTCTTATGAGGTATCTTTTCAACTAGGGTTCCTTCCTCTCAAATGGCTTTAGCTCATGTCAAGTTGACATAAAACTATCCGGAACACACACCAGCTACAGCTGAGTATCTGTGAAGTGATTTTCTTAACTTCCAGTCTGGGAGGCCACAAGTTAAAGATCAGTTGATACCATCTACTTCAGCTCCAATGAGGGCTTTATGGTAGATGATGTCACCAAGACATTACAGAGGAGGTCACACGGTAAAGTGATGAGTGAGATCAGGGAGTTGAGGGATCAACTTTTTTCTTTTTATAACTACTCACCCTTGGGAATTAACTCACTCTGAGAGATTACAAATTGCACTGACTGGCATTTCTATGACCTAGTCATTTCCCACTCCTTATAGGTTCTACCATCTTCCAACAGATCTCATGGATGACCTTAGGAAGCATACTCAACGCCACAGCACTGCTCTTGAGAATACAACCAAAGAAAGCTGAGCTGAGATGCATTCTATTCAGTACATGACCAGTACTTCTCAGAAATAAACAGAACTATCAAAGGTGAGAGGAGCCCGAGGGACACAGGATGACTGACTGTGGCATGGGATCCTGGGACAGAGAAGGACAGTAAGGAAAAACTAGTGGAATCCAGGTATAACATTGACTCTGATAATAAAAAGAAAAAGTTATGGAATGAGCAAAAAAAATAAAAGGAGAAAAAGCCAAGATTTAAGAGTGTGTGGTCCAGTGACTTGATAAGACAATCCAAACATTCTCTGATGAAGAATTCACAGTCTTTCTTACAAATGGGGCTAGACTTACTGGTCATCCTCCAGGCGGATAGCAATTATATCATATTATATATAATACTTAGATAAAAAAGAACATATACCTAAAATAAAAGTCTTATAATAAAATACACGGAAAACTTTACCTTATTACTCTAAGATGGGGAAAAATTTCCTAGACAGAACACAGAATCACAAAACATAAAAGAATAATTGTTGAACTCTTATCAAGACTAAAAATAAAGGGGTTGGAGGACAGTCTCAGCAATTAACAGTACTCACTGCCCAATTATAAAGATGGGAGTTTGGACAGCAGCACCCACATAACAAGCCAAAAACATAAATGAATACATGAAAAAAATAACAAATAAAAGAGAGAACAGGGCCGGGTGGTGGTGGCTCACGCCTTTAATCCCAGCACTCGGGAGGCAGAGGCAGGTGGATCTCTGTGAGTTCGAGGCCAGCCTGGTCTAGAAGAGCTAGTTCCAGGACAGGAACCAAAAGCTACGGAGAAACTCTGTCTCAAAAATCAAGAGANAGAGAGAGAGAGAGAGAGAGAGAGAGAGAGAGAGAGAGAGAGAGAGAGAGAGAGAGAGAGAGAGAGAGAACAGGAAGAAGAGGAAGAATACAGGGCCAGCCAGAGAGATGGCTTGGTGGGTAAAAGTTTTTGTTACACAAATGTGGCTACCTGCATTCCATTCCTAGCGCCCATGTAAAAAGCTAGAAGTGGTGGCACACATCTGGAATCCCAGCATCCCTATGGAAAGATGGGAAGCATACAGAAGCTTGTGCAGTAGCACAACCAAGAGGAACCCTGTCTCAACAAGGTCCAAGGGTACAGCCAACACTCAGAAGTTGTCCTCTGGCCTCCACATACTCTCTGTGGCACAGACAGACAGACACACACACACAGACACACAAACACACACTAGTTGCTTTCAACTCTTTTGTTTGACTTCCAGTCATGTGGCTTGGCAGAATCGGTAAGGCGTGTGCTGACAGTCAGAGCAGATTCCTGCACATGTGAGGTAACTGTGAACATAAACAAAACAAAGACCAGTGTCAGGAGTTCTCTCTCTTTCTCCTTTCCTCCCTCTGTATATGTGAAAATTGGACTACAGAGCGAATGACTATGCTCACAAAAAGTTGGGAAAAAAAATAAAAGTTTATTTTCAACTTTTAAAAAAGTAAATAGCTCATTAGCAAATATGCAGTTTCAACTATAGCAATAGTCACTTAGAAAGTGGAAAACAATCAAATCAAAAGAATACACGTGTGCCAGTCACTAGAAAAATCTGTGGCTGTTTGAGATGCCATACGGAAATGAATGACTCGAGTCCAGCCCTAAGGATTTGTCTTCTACTAGCCTGTGTAGAGCAGGTGCTAGTAGCCAGCATGACTTGTTCACACACAACTGTGGCATTTTTAAATCTTTGATGGCTCATGGTAAGGAGGTTGCCACAGCATCTCCTTTGTGGGTGCTATAAAAGTACCAGTTAAGACTTGTTTTGCAAAGCTAATCTCTTAACTTTTGAACTTTAGGCTTCCCTGACCTTCCAGAACACTTTGCACTTCCAGCCATGCACTCCAGAGCACAGCAGATTGTATACTTCCACCTCAAATAGTCTAGCCAACGGCAGAAAGGCTTTTCTGGAATACTGCGTGACACAGTTTCACATGGATTGCTACCACTGGCCATGGGTCTCTTCTGCAATGCGCTCCATCTTTTGATAGTTACAGGCAGTGTTTGTAGGGTAGAAATCAAAAGCATGCCTCTGCACATTCGTGGGTGACTCATGGTTTTCAAGAGCCCTGAGCCCTGCCAAGTCCTTGGTCTTCACATCAAAAACTCACGTCTCTTTGATGCTACATAACCCTGCAGATAAAGTGTTGCCGTCCGCCTTTCTGTAAACACACAAAAAGAAGAGTTCTATAAGCTCTGCCCTCCTCTTCTCTCCCCACGGTCCCTCCTCCAGGCAATGCATTTAGCCTTACCCGTTAGCACTTCACTGATTTGCACCAGTCAAGGTCAACGATAACTTCCACACGGCTAAACACCATGGTCAATTTCCAGTTCTCGGCTCACTCCCTTCGACGGTCCCATTCGTCATGTTCCCAGCAAAGGCCACACTTCTGCCCACAAGGTGAGCTGACGTCATTCAGAGGTCTGCTCTTATCTGGATCACTTCCCTCATGGTGTTTCTTCACATCCCCAACTCTAAATGTTAGTGTGTTCCATGCGCTGACCTTCAAACTCAGGTAGGCTCCTTCCTGGAAATATATCTACAGATCTCTATGTTACTAAAGGACACATTTTTCTCTTCAGGCCAGGCCACTGGTCTAAACTCCACAGCTGATTACCTAACACGGACCCAACGTCTCCACCTAGAGACTAAGAGGAACTTCTACTTAAAATGGAGGAAATGAGTGAACTGTTAGGGTGTGGGTGTGTATTGTTTAACTGTTCCAAATGTATAATGTTTGTGCATACCAATGCGTGTAGTGTGTGTGAAGGCCAGAGATCAATGTGGGGTGGCTTCATCCTATGCTTTTTCAGCCACAAAGGCCTTTGTACACCGGACACTTCACTTGCTTGCTGTTCTATGTTTGCCCCCAGATAGCTCTTACTTTTTTCTTCGCTATCTTTAGCGACCTTCACAAATGTCACAGTGAATCATTGTCAATCATAAAATGGCATCTACTCCCCCTCACTCCTTATCATCCTTCCTTGCTTTACTGTTACAGCACTTATCAGCCTTCTCATCCATGTTTGTTTATTTGTTTCTATGGTAACCCTTCCCACCCCCAGAATATAATGGCTCTAATATTATATTCCCAGTGTTTAAATCAGCATTTGCCTATAATATCTTTCAGTAAGTATTAATTGAAGTAATCAGAAGAATCTTGCCCCAGAACTTGAGCGACTACATAAAGTGAAGCCGACAAAACTCCCTCCAAGTGTTTGGAATTTACATGTAACCCGTCTGACCAGTCTTCCCTACATAATGGAGGACAAAGAATTGGAAATTGTATAAATGATATGTTTACCTGGAACCCAAGGCACTGGCCAGTTCCCGTGATTCCAGAAGGTCTTCAGAAAGGCAAATTTTGCATACTAAAAACAGCAGTCAAGGCTCCTCGAGACTGTTCAGCACTGGCCCTCGAAGTCCAACAACTTGTGTAGGGTCCACAAAGGTGGAAGGAAAGAACTGACCCCACAAAGCTGTCCTCTGGCCTCCACATGTGCCATGGTATGTGTGTCTCCCAATAATAATAACACCTATTCTATAAAAGACCAGCAATTTGGGTGTCAGTGCCGTGAACAGAGGCTACATTTTCTGATGGTCCCTCCTAGCCTGAGTAATAAAGCAATGTGTCCATGAGGTTCAATGATAAACCCTTTTCAGTTTGTTCAAGAAAAGAGCAGCCAGTTAAGTCTAACTGCCACAGACTGTTGTGACGTATCTCCGCCCCCGCCCCCAAGTCAATAACGACAGGAGGAGGAGTCCTCTTTGGAAGATGATTCCTACTGGATTAAGAGGGCAGATGTCTATGAATTGGATTCGTGCCCAGTGAAACAGGACCTTCGGGAGACTCTCTAGTCCTATGGTTCTCAGCCTTCTAATGTGACAACCCACTAATACAGTTCCTCATGTTGTGGTGACCCCCAATCATAAAATTATTGCCATTGCTACTACATAGCTGTAATATTGCTACTGTTATGAATCGTAACGCAAATCTCTGTGTTTTCTGATTGTCTTAGGCAACCCCTAGGAAAGGGTCCTTTGACTCCCGGCTTGAGAACCCCTGCAAGTTCTTCCACCACGTGGCAAGCTGTAAGAAAGTGTCATTTATGAGACTGCCAGAGCCAACCACACCGCAAACCTGTTGGCATCCTGACCTTGGATTTTGCCAGCCTCTGGCTCTTTTGGGGGAATCCTGTAGTTTATAATCCAGTAATCCGAACAAATGAAGAGAATCGGTTTAGGAAAAACTGCACCTTATGCTACTGGGAGATAGGAAACAAACCCGATGACGGCAGTACTGGCCACTTCAGCCCGCTAGGTGGAGCCCGAGGAGACGGAATGCAGTCTGGTAGCTGGCAAAATCGAAGAGGGATTCCAAGCCCAGCCCAGCCCAGCCCAGAGGGTGCCCACCAGCGGCCTCCCCAGCTGAGTGGAGTAAGGGGAGGGGAGGGAACCTGACCTGAACTAATAAACAGCAGGGCAAAGCAACTCCCAGTACAAAGAAGAGCAAGCCTGATTTCAGTCTGAAATGGAAGGATTTGCTTTTGTGAAAGCTCAAAACTTTAAACCTTATAGAAAAAGAGAGGGTTGAAGGTGCATCTGGGACTCTCTCTGGATTAAAATCGAAATATTAATAGTTACATTAAAATTAAAGCTATTGACTGGCAGACGGCTCCGAGGTTTGTAAAGGCTTTTGCCACCAAGCCTGGATGTCTGGGGTTTGATTCCCAGAGACAGACTCCCCGGGGTTCTACTCTGACCTCCACACATGCACCTCCTTACCTACACAAGTAAATAAACAGGGGTAAAACTTAAAGTTGTAAGGCTGTAATTTTATGACAAGTACCTGGAAGAAGGAAGGAGAAAAAAGTTATTAAGGAGGATGTTTGTAGTCCCGTCGTCCATTGTAGTCCCCCCCCCCAACTATCGGCAGGTGAGTAATACACAGGGAAGTACATTTCTGTGTAATTCGATCATTGTGATGCTTTAAAAATCACCGATTAAATGTGTTGGATTTTATTTCATGGATATGCCTTCCCACCACTTTAAAATACATCACCATATCGTCATCAGAAAAATCTCAGATGGCTTGCCCATCAAAGAGTAAAAACTGGCTATGACTTGAGTATCCCCATCCACTTACCGCAAGCTCCCGTCAGCTGCCCGGCATTACCGGCCCTGTTTCTTTTCCAGCAGGCTCTGTGGACTTGACTGAGTAAGAATGTCTTTTTAGGGAGAAATGAGCCACGCTTTTCAGAGGAGACAGGTATACCGAAATGGTAGTACCGGTCTGTAATCCCACTGCTCGGAAGATGAGGCAGGAGGACCTTCAGTTCAAGGGCTGACTGGGCAACCCGGTAAGGCCCTGTCTCCGAGAACATCAGAAAAGAAAGAGAGAGGGGGAAGGAGGGAGGTCTGGTTGAGATGCTTTCTATTCATATGCAGCTGGAGGAGAGGACACCAAGGTCACAGGGGGTCCCCGTCTTCTCTTTCCATCAGCCTAAAGTAAGCAGAAAGATGATGATAAAGGCCGTGGGAACTTGACAGTACTGCTGAGAAGCCTGGGGACCGCTATAAATTTGCACTGAGACCAGACGCCTTAGTCCATTCAGGCTACTACAACACAATATCTTTGACTGGACAACTTACGAACAGTAGAGATTTACTGGTCAGTTCCAGGGCTTAGAGAGGCCATGATGAACACACCAGTAGACAGGATGTTCTCAAAAAGGGTTTTCCTCCACACTTTTTTGCTGTTGTTATTGTGAGAGAAATAAAAAGCAGGGCCTTGGATGCTCTACCATTGAACTCTACCCAAGCCCTAGATAGTGCCTCTTGCTGAGTTCTCACACAGCCATGGGACAGAAGTGGGAATGCACGCTCTCTTAGGGCTCCTTTATAAAGGAACTAATCGCATTCAGGAAGGCAGAACCCTCATGACTCCGTTGTTTTCCCCAAAACCCCATTTCTTAATCGATGATTCAGTTTCAACATATGAAGGGAGACACACCAACGTGCTAGCACTGGTCAAGGAAGTGCAGGCCATTCTTCCTTGGATGAAGGCATGAGGTAAGGTGGAGACCTAAGGCAGGGTTAGGACTTGGCCAGATGACTAGAAAGGACCATGGGAAGTACGCGGTAGCTGAGGACCACTCAAGGTGGTGAGCAGAATGACTGACAGCTGAATTTAGGGAGCCGGGGAGGATGGAAAGTCACAGGTGCCACCTAGAGTCCTCTCAGCAGCTAAGGCTACAGAAGGACACATGTTTAAGGAGACAGGGTGGAACCTTGCACTGCTGGCCTCTGACAGAAAGTAGAACTCAATCGCTTTCTCAGCCAGTGACCCAGTTTCCTCTGCTTTAAACAGCTCTTGGCACCTGCAGCTGGTGCTCGCAGGGAAGCCTCCCCTGACCTCACTTGGCTCCTCCCTGTGGAGACTGGGTTGTTTTACACGTCAGTCCTCTCTATATGTTTTTTTTTTTCTCTCAATTACAGCTCACGGGAGTTAAACTCTGTCCATGGCACCGTTAAAACTTCAAGAGGTTTGATCATTTGTCCAAGGTCACAGAGCCAAGTCTGGACTCGTTGTTGTAATTCTAAATGCCCCCCTTTGCCTTTACAACTTCCAGAAACAAGCGCCTCCTAAAGCAGGCCTCCGTGTGGCGTGATCAGGCATTTACAAGGACACTAAGGGGCAGGAAGACAGATAGAAGAAAGCTCCTGGAGCCTTAGCCGCATTCCTGCTGCCATTTGTCCACACGGCAGGCATGGACTAGAATTCAGAATGGAATGTGCTTGCTTGTGCTTGCTTGTGTTTGCTTCCAGATTTAAAGAAGGAAGAGACAGAGTATCAAGAGCCTCTGCTCGTCCCTGCACGACACTCCCTTCTGACTTCCACTGCTCGTCTGGTACCCACCTTTCTTCTGACTTCCATTGCTTGTTGTCCCCCCCACACACACACATACCCCCTCTGACTTCCACTGCCCGACTCTGCCGCCCCCCCTCTGACTTCCACTGCTCTACTCCGCCCCCTTCTGACTTCCACTGTTCGTCTGCCCCCCCACACACACTCTTCTGACTTCCACTGCTCGTCCCCACACTTACCATATTAGTACTTGGCAAACAGAGTAATTCAAGGTTCTCTTGTCCATTTGATAATAGGAAAGTCACAACTCAGGCTAAAGCTACCTAGTCATAATAGCGCCTATCTGTATTTCCAGGTACTTGAGAAGCTGAGGCAGGAGGATCCCTTGAACCACTGAATTTGAGGTCAACCTGGACAAACAGCAAACTGGCCTCAAAGTCAACAGAGATCCATCTGCCTCTGCCTCTGCCTCTGCCTCTGCCTCTGCCTCTGCCTCTGCCTCTGCCTCTGCCTCTGCCTCTGCCTCTGCCTCTGCCTCTGCCTCTGCCTCTGCCTCTGCCTCTGCCTCTGCCTCTGCCTCTGCCTCTGCCTCTGCCTCTGCCTCTGCCTCGCAAGTGCTAGAATTAAAGGCATCGTCTGGCAGACTTTCTCTCATAAGAAAAGAAATGAAATGGAAGGAAAAAGTAAGAGAAGAAGAGGGAGGGGAGGAAGAAAATAACTACTAGCAATAGAACCAAAGGTCCGGCACAAGGGCTGACAAGGTGCCTCAGAGGGCTAGGTAAGATACTTGCTGCCAAGCCTGTTGACCTGAGATTGCCAGGGACCCACATAATGGACAGAGAGAACCAACTCCTGCTAGTTGTCCTGTGCCTTTGGCACGCATGTGGGGATACACACTCTAAATAAATAAATAAATAAATAAATAAATAAATATTCAAAACAAACGAACAAAAACCGGTCCAGCTTGACACCTCAAGTTTTCAGAAATCTCCTGTTTTTCTCAGCACAGCTACAGGGTGACTCACACACAGAAGGTTCCCAAACCGAACTAAATTGCAGTGGTCTGAAACAAAGCCGCTCCCCTGGCATGTTCTAAACTCTCCTGAACAGAGTGGAAAGGGGCTGAAAGGGAAGAATCCCTATTCACAGCCTCCACAGAAGCTCCCGTGAAGGCAAGTGGCTGTTGGCTCCAGAAGCGGGGACAGGCAGAATGATTTGCATCTTTTGGGAGCAGTTTGAGGAGCAGCCAGGTCTTTGAGCCCTGGGAGTGTGATTAGGGAAGTGGCTTGCTTTGTCTAACACCTACCACGTGAACTGCAGTGCCAGGCTGTGTGGGGTGGGGCGGGGGGGGGGCGCCTCAAGACTCAGTCTGGCAAGAGTGGAAGAGGGGCGTTCCTAACCCTCACAGCGGTTCCCCTGTTGTTTGTCTGTGGGAGGGATGTTAAGTGCCTGTCATAAGCCAGCCTGCTGCTGGGGAGCTGTGGCCAGATGAGAGTGGCGTGCCCAAGGAGCTTTCCATTCTCCAGGCAGAAGCAGGTCACTCACCACCCAAAGTGAGCAAGGGCAGTTTCTTAAAATTATATCGATTTAAAAAACAACACCAACAACAATAAACATAAAAACAAAAAAACTCCTTACTTTCATTTTTTTTGTACTTTTTACAGGAAAATATATAGGATGCTTTTTGATGTTTTATTTTCAGATAACCACTTTCTTTATCTTGATGGGGAAAAAGATAAAATACTTAATAATTGGAGGTTGGGATAAAAGAGGGGTTTCGTTCCAAAATAAAACTCGGCTATAGCTACTTGAGAGTTTTCAATGGGAGAAAAACAAAAAAAGAAAGAAAGTAAAGAATCTCAGTGGTACTAGAAGCAAACCTGGATCTGATGCTCACTTAATATGGCGGAAAGCGGGGTGTGGTGATACTCACTTGTAAGCCCAGCGCTCGTGAGCTTGAGGCAGGAGGGTGGCAAATTCAAGGTCAACCAATGCTACAGGGTGAGATCATGTCTAAAAAGGGAAAAAATTTAAAAAGCGTGCTGGCCACGTGCTTTCCTCGCTCTTGGGGTAAGCTGTGAAGCGGTGCCCGAAGGCGTGTCCCCATCGTCATCTACAGATCCTGAGGACCCTGTCTAACCCGGCCTTCATAGAGGCGATGAAGCTGAAGAAGGCTTTGAGTAAGGGGACTGCAGATTATCTGGGTGCCTTTGAAGTACAAAGCCACAAGTGTTCCTCTAGAAGGGGGGCAGGAGAAGACCTTGTCTAGACAAAAGAAGAGGAAGCAATGTCATCATGGAGGAATACATTAAAGAGATGTGACCACAATGCCAGGAATACCAATGGCTCCCAGAAACTGGAAGACACAGGCAGGGCTGTGCCCTGAAGCCTCAAATGGTGTTATCGGTTGGATATAAAATGTATCCAACAGCGTAGTGTGCTCGGTGCCAGGCAGTGGCACTGTTCCGAGGGGTTCTTAAACCTTGAAGGAGCTAATGCAAGGGAAAGGGACTCTTAAGGACAGGCCTTGAGGCCAACAACCACACTGCTTCTGGCTCTGTTCCTCCTGGTTCTGCTCCACTGAGCAAGCAGCTCCTAATTCCTGCTGCCAAGTCTTGCGCTTCCCATGCCACCCTCTCCCTGCCATTGATAGACGGTATCCTTAAACCGTGAGGAAAAACAGGTCCTCCCAAATCTCTTGTAGTCAGGCATGTGCTTGCTGATTCAGAGGGAGGGCGGCCCTGTCAGAGCCTCGATTTTGGACCAGTAAAACCAATTTTACACTTCTGCCTCCTTGAACTATACAAAAACAAGCTTTTGTTACAGAAAAAAAAATGGAAGGATTATTTTCTTTTTAAGTCTGTGTACAAGTGTGTGTCTCTTGTGTGACATGCGTGATGAGTACAGGTGCCTGGAAGGGCAAGAGTCCAGAAGAGGGTGTCAGATCCCCTGCAGCGGAAGTAATAGGTGTTTGTGAGCCTCCAACATGAGCGCACAGGTCCCTTGCCAGAGCAGTGGTAACTTTGGTTACTTTGCTATTGATGGATACAACACCACGATCAAGGCAACTTACAGAAAAATGTTGCTATCCAAAAGTCTATAAAAGTTCTTTCATCAAGGGCAAACCTGAATTCAAGGGCAACTGTGTCTCAGTTAACATTCCCCTTGCCTTCATTCTTTGTGAGTTAACCTTCCCCTTGCCTTCATTCTCTGTGAGTTAACCTTCCCCTTGCCTTCATTTCTCTGCGGAATACTCCAGGGTAATCTGATAACCAAAAGAAAAAAATGCCTTTTGGTGTACTTTCTGCGGAAGTACGTTCACGAGGAATCTCTGAGCCCCACGGCCCCTACAGCTCTAGATGAGGTCAGATGCTCCTAGTGACCCTGTAACCCTGCTCTGCCCTTTAAATAGACCAAAATGAAAAATAAAATTGCTCTCTTTTATCAGGAAAAAGAACCAGATAGTCTGTTTGTCTCTCTGCATTTGGCCACAGGTCTTCTCTTCCAAAAACTCCAAGTTTTAGCTTTTGCTGTGCTGGCTGAGGCAGAAGAAAACATTTAATGTCTGCCTACAGTTTCAGAGGGTGAGTCCACAACCATCATGGCGGGGAACACGGCAGCAGGCAGGCAGGCATGGGGCTGGGGCAGTAGCTGAGAGCTTACAACTGATCCATAACCAGGAGGCAGATCAAGAACTTATTGGGAATGATGTGAGCCGTGTCCACACCCCAGTGACATATCTCCTCCAACAAGACTACAGCTCCTCTGCTTTCCAAACACTTCCACCAACTGGGGACCAAGTAATCACATCTACGAGCCTACACGAGCCATTTCCGTCAACCTACCACCATGTTCTTCACCCCGACCCATCTCTCCAGCCCCAAATTTCCATTGCTTTAAGCCACTACTTTTATAGTTATTTGTCACAACAGCTCAAGCCAATTAACAAGCTCCCTAGTCACCCAAGCTCCTCCAAGCAACAGTTAAGGGAGGGAAGATTCATAAGTCCAGAAAGAACACTAGAAGAGGATTTTGATAAATATTTAGGAGATGGAAACTTAATAGATGAGAACCAATTTTCAGAGATAATAAAGGGATGTGAAGACATGGGTCAGTTGTCCCCAGAGGCCAGATATGGTGTCACTAAGTAGGTGAGGAATGAGGTGTGGGTCTGAAACAGAAGATAGGATGGATGTATGGACATGGACCTAGATGCTCCTGAGTCGGTGGTGGGCCAAGATCTAGGGGCATCCCTGGTCCTTACTTCTAGACCAATCTTTGCCCTACCACTTGAACTTACATCCCTTAGTTCTGTCCATGTTCCCGCTATTGGAAAGAGCTAGTCACAAGTTTCTTCCTGGAGCAAGGTGGCTAAGAAGTGCCACCACAGAACACCCAGGCTTCTGCCCAGTAGCTCCCTGCTGTGGGAGGACGGGGAGCTTCCTGAAGCAAGCTCCGATTCCACCTTCCGCTGCATGCTCCGAAGCACGTCATGCTAACAGGCCAGGTCTCAGAAGAGTCAAAAGTTCCAGAAGAAAATAACCAGGTCACATGTGGCTTGAGGGTAAGCCCTCTCACTGGTTCCACACTCTTCCCGCACAGTACAAAATTACACATGGAGCAGTCTCAAAGTTCGGAGAGAAATTCATCTTGCAACTGAAATGTCTATCATATCTAGTGAGCAACAATCATCAGAGACTGTGGAAGTGTGAGATGAAGATGTTTAGGAAGAAAAATTGAATTGGTATTTATTTCATGTGCTGCAAAATTTAAGGGAAAATTATGGAGAAGAGTTTGTCCAATCTGTTGGATTTCTTATGGGGGAGAAATAATTGTATAACATTATATAAAAACCAAGTAACTGCCCAATGGTGAAGGAAGCAGCAATAATTCATTTAATCTTTCTGTCTTTGTCATTGTAACTTGATAAGTTATAGTTGCATGTATTTACAGGGTGCAGAGTGATGTTCTACGGGGCCAGAAAGATGGCCGGGAACTTAAAAGCCTTTGCTGCTCTTGAGAGGATCCACGTTTAGTTATGAGAATTCAGTGTGAGGCTTAAGATTTGGGAATC